TTGGGTTGTCATTGATTTTCTTAAGAAAGAAAATCGACGCACTTTCGTCGGTTATTTTTCACGCAAAAATACAGGGAAACTCTCAAAAAGAAATTGTTACTTTTTTAACAAAAAATCAATGATCATCCGTCAATTTGAATTATTTACAATAACTAATGGATGAACGACGATTTAAAAAATGCAAAATTATAGTTGAAGAGCATATATAGAAATAAAGAAATCATAAAATTAGTATTTTGTGTTTAAATAGTACATAAAAAAATAGAGTTGAAGGGTTAATCTTTTATTATTATTTTTAATTTTATTTTTTTTGTATTTCACTCTCTTAGAGAAAGTGTGATGCATACACTCTGCCACATAACTTAGAAGTGCCAAAATGAAAACATAAAAATTGGAGTTAAAGGGGTTAAAAATGGAACAAGGTTGAGTTGGAGTGCCAAAATGAAATCTAGGGACAAGTTTAAGGGTCTGCATATGTGTTTTGCCCCATTGTTTTAACAAAAAATTATTCAACATATTGCCAAGTTCAATATATTTAATAAATTTTCATTAAAAATATACAAAAAAAATATAGTAAATAAAATTTTGAATTGTCTTTGTTGATCATTGTATTTTCAAGAGGGGAGGTACACTATGCGCGGGTGTCCAATTGAGCACCCTTTGTCCATGTCACACCCCGAGTCTACACCCTGGGTGGGACTGACACTCGAGAACCATTGTTGGCCCCAAGCGAACCCTTGGTCTGGCTTACTTACTAAGCGGAAGACTTAAACACATGAAATAGTCTCAAATAAGGAATTTATGAAATAACTTAGAATGTCTTAAAAGAAACATTCAAACTAGCCAAGATGGCAACATAAGTCTTGTAGCAAAACATCTTAAATACAAGACTAAATGACTCATATCTAACTGTCTATGAAGCCTCTAAATACTAAGAGGGATGTCGGGACAAGACCCCCGATCATCCTAACAACTGACTAACAAAGCAATAAAAAGGGAATCTTCCAAAAGCAAGGAGGCTCACCAACTAACTATGAATGCTCAACTAGATCAACAAGGCGCTGGATGTTGATCCTGGTTATCTGTATCTGCAACATTAAAAGATGCAGGCCAAAAGGTATCAGTACATTGAATGTACGAGCATGCAAAGAGAAAACTAAACATGACATAAGCTTGAAAGGAATCTGAAAAGAACACTTACCTTAGCTTTCCTCAACTCATGGATACTCAACTCAAATGAAAAGTAAAATAACAATAAAGGTGCAGTTTATACAAAGCATTTAAAACAGTAGGTGACAACTAAATGTTTAAAGAAATACAACAACTCAGTTTACATAAAAAGTAATATAATACTGTGGAGTTTCTCTAACCGAAAACCATCACTATGAGCTAAAGTGATGATACGGCATTGTAGCGACCCGAGCACATACCCTGGAAGTTACACGGCATATTTGACACCAAAGGGTCTCGTCCAAGCCTCTTAGCATTCATAACATTCGATATATAGAAAAAGTGCGGAATTTAAAACTTTTCTTTAAATCCATACAATCAAAACTTTATTAAAAACATTTGAAACAACGGAAGTCTATCGTCTCACATGGCCATCTAAAACAATATCTTGAAACAAAAGTAGGGTCACGACCCTTTACAATAGAAAGTCTAACATATGTCTATTACATGAAAGAAAGAAACATCAAAAGTACTTGTCCTCGATCTATGAGGACATACCACTTGGCTTTGGAGAAATCTCAATCCAAGCCCTTGAACTAGAGAGAAAGCAACTCACTTGCCGGAACCTACACTTGTAGTAAAATAAGAGAAATATGGGTTAGCACACAAAAATGTACTAAGTATGATGACCATGCAAAAATCATGCTTTAAATGGACATTTTAGTTGGAAACCATGCATTATGCCACTTTTTAGAAATATCATGTACATTAGTATAAGAGACATAAAATACAAGTATAATCATCATACAAGTCATAGTCATCACATGTAAACATTCACTTTAAGTAACCCTAAGCTACACTTGTGCAATGTAAGAATAGCATCTCATACTACTATCCTTACTAAGTGCCA